AAAAAAAAAAAAAAAAAAAAAAAAAAAAAAAAAAAAAAAAAAAAAACCAAGAACACTGAAATTACAGGTTTATGGTTGTTAGGACATCCCAGGACCCTAGGAACACCTGCATACAGTCTAGAATGGAGGAAACAGGGTAAAAGAAAATCAGAGCAGGTATACCCTAAGTCCACAGAGAAGGACAATTCTTATTGAGATCATCTAGAGCTTGAACACACAGAGAACTTCTTGAGAACAGAATATGCTGGCAGGAAGAAGCCCATGAATTGTTCCTTAATGACACTCTCTCATTTCCTCTCAGGCCTATATTTCCACTGAAGAAATGTCGAGTAATGATAAGAAAAAGTCCAGTGACCCCAAGGTTGCACCCAAGAAATGTGATTCCAAATGTGAACAGAGGTGTGAGACCAAATGCCATCCCAGCTGTCTAAAGAAGCTGCTGAAACTCTGTCCTGACAAGTGTCCACAGGAAAAGTGCCCACCACCACCAAAGTGTCCCCCATGTCCTCCATGTCCCTCGCAGTGTCCCACTGTTTGTTTCCTGCAGTGTCCCCCGCCTTGTTCACCGCAGTCTCCCCCGCCTTGTTCACCGCAGTGTCCCTCGCCGTGTCCACCACCATGCTCCTACATTTGTTTTAACCCCTGCTCTCCCAACTGTCCCTCTCCATGCCCACCTCCAGACTGAAGTGCCATGGGCAGCAACACCAGCCCCACTGCCACTGAACTCCATGACCACCTACAACGTTGTGGGGCTGGAAGTGAAACCAGGAACTGACAAGTAAATGGGTTCCTCTGCTGTGCAAGACTTCTGCAGCCTCGGGGGATTTGCTTTATTTTGTGGTTACACAGCACTATGCCAAGAAGCAATCCCTCACAGTGAGATCATTAAGTACCCCACAGGCTCTGCCTGTCACTTAGGGCAGGTGCCTTTCCAGAGAAAGTCAAGCCCTGCTAGAGCAATGTCTGAGTGGTAAAGTATGTAACCCAGGCAACAAGGCAGGAGAGAGACAGACACAGAGAGAGCAGCGTGAGAGAGAGAAACAGGACATTGGTTAAACGTCCAGAAAAATTCAAGAACCAACATTCTACCAATCTGACATTAGTCCTGCTGCATAGCACTTATACAGAGGGACTCTTGACAGACTGCCTCTTGGGGGGAAGGCACATATCAGATAGTTACATTATCATTCATAACAGTAGCAAAATTACAATTAGGAAGTAGCAACAAGATAATGTTATGGTTGGGGTCTCCACAACATGAGGACTGGATTGAAGGGTCGCAGCATTAGGAAAGTTGAGGACTGCTGATCTAGCTCCACACACTAACCACACTGTGACTTTGCACCAGTTACTTGACTCAGTTTCCTTCACTATGCCACAGGGAAGATGGCACAAACGATACTGCTCTTGCAGTATTACGTTAAGACTTGGGATCGGAATAGACAGAAGTCAGGTGCTTGGTGTACTGGAAGACAGTAGGCCAGTATTCTCAACCTGTGGACACAACCCTTATAGGTTGAAAGATCCTTTCCCAGAGGTCACATTATGGATATCCTGCATATCAAATATCTACATTATGATTCAAAAAAGTAGCAAAATTAAAGTTATGAAGTAGAAATTAAATAATTTTAGAGTTGGGGGTCACCACACATGAGGAACTGCATTACTGGGCCCCCGTGTTAGGAAGGTTGCTAACCACTACAGAAGACAGTGGGTGAAGAGGCAATACATTCTTCACACCTGAGCTCCCCTGCTCTGTCCTTCTCCTCTAAATGGACTTTAAATCATCTGAGCACGGTGCTCATGTTCTCATGTGCTCCTGCAGACACAAAAATAGGCATTGAAATAAAGGGTTGTAGGTTGCATTTTCTATCTCACTTTTTTTTTTTTACATATTAAACAGCGTTAGTTTTATTTTAGTCTATGATTTGTTTAAACTGCTCATGTAAATCCTTTTCACCCCAAAAAGAAAGAACTTGACATTGTCCATCCACGTTTTCCACTACAGCTTGCAGGACATTACCGTGTTGTTTGACCTCAAATTGGGTTTGATCCTTCAGTCATAAGTTTTCCAAATTGCCTGTTAGAATCCATCACTTGTCAGTCAGCAGGGACGACCACAGAACTCCTGATGTCTGACTTATCACTGAACGTACTTATTGTAAGTGCTCACAAGCTTCATGAAGACCCAGGGGAAGCCTCACTCACACAGGCAGCCCCTAGAGCAGCCTTGCACTATAGACGTCTGTGCTACTTCTGCTATGATGTTCAAGCCCGAGAGCCAAGGGCACAAAGCCAAACTCTCTGCAAGGTTCTCAAGAGAGGACTAACACGGAAGGTACCGGGAGGCATAATCCAGCTCCAAGAAACGATGACACCCGAGCACTCAGGCCCATCAGGCTACTTTGTCTTCTAGATGCTTGCTGTTCACACGTAACTGCAGTATTCATTCACATAAAGCATGCCACAGCCTCGCCCACTGTCTAAGCACCCGGCAAAGTTAATCCCTTCCTCCTCCTCACTCCCAGAAAAGTTTAGTTAGTCCTTGAACTTTGAAAGTACTTTATACATATACATACAAAAAATAATTAGGATTTCCATCAGTGTTCTTGTCAGCATGATTCAGAATTGCTCGGAGGAATACCTTCTCTTTTGTAAGATAAACACTACACTGTTTGAAGTACACACGAAGTTTCATTTTTCAGTGTTCTTTACTTTCCATTATGAAAAGTCTTTTCTGAGGAACTGAAACCCCAGAAGGTAGCAGTCCCCAAAAAAAAGAAACGGTTAAAACAAAATTTTAAATGATGAATCAGAAACAGACTTGAGTCATATTTAAAAGACAGGCGGTAGCAAATGTAGTCTCTAAAGGGAACTGTTCTAATTATTATCTAGAAAGTAAAGTCACACAACTTCGTCAAGGTCATAAGATAAACTGTGGCTTGAAAATTAGGTTGACTAAACAGGAGGGGAAGTTTTTCAAAACCCGCTGAAACAGGACAATGAGAAGGATTTCAGAACAATTTGAACTGGAGCGAAGATCCACCAGTCTTTGATGTGTCTGGTGCTTCAGCATCTTGAATTACGTTCTTTCTTGTCACCATTGTCACCAACACCTCAAAGGAGCATTCTCACAGAATTAAATAATCGCTGCTATTTTGTTAGGATTCAGAATCTCAATCCAGTAGCCGTCAGGATCCTGAATGAATGCCAGACCTTTCATTTTACCATCATCCGGTTTCTTCACAAACTTGACGCCCAGTTCTTCAAATCTCTTACAGGCACTATAGACATCAGGAACAGCAATCCCAATGTGACCAAATCCCCGAGGGTCTGAGTTGCCATTGTGGTAACTCTGGGTCTCATCATCTTCAGTGCCCCAGTTGTGTGTCAACTCCAGTGTAGCTTTTCTGGAGAACGTCCATGCAACTCTTTCATTCTTATCCTTGGGGATGTCATTTTTATCCTCGTAAACTAAGAAATAGAGCGAAAACTTCATAGAAGGGAAATCTAACTTCTGGAGGAGCGTCAGTCCAAGAACCCTCGTATAAAAATCCAGGGACTTCTTAGGATCCTTAATTCTTAGCATCGTTTGCTGCAGTAGAAAATCCTTGGTACTGGAGTCCGGGTCGGAGCAGCAGCTGAGGGCAGCCTCATCCGTGAGGCCGCTGGACGCGGGCTGTGGCTCTGCCATGGCCGCCCGAGAGGATCACCGAAGAGCTCTCTCTATCTCACTTTTTATATTAAAATTTAGTAACATGTCACTATGCCAAGAACCCCAACAAAGGTTCTTGACATAGGTCCTCCATTTCTGCAAATTTATGTGAACCTATATTTTAAAATTAAAACAAGTGCAGAAGACTACATATGCATGCATGAGGACCACAGTTAGGGAAGGTGTTCACACCTGATAAGGGTTTTATAAGGTATTAGAGAGTCTAGAACAAACTGAATACATTCACCAGAAAGAATGTATTGATTCATACTCCTGAGAAGGATACTGGAGTTGGATATAGAATTAGAACTGTAGCAACCAGGAACCTCAGAGCCTATATGTGGGGACTCACCCACAGCTTTCATTCTCCCTATTCCTCAGCATGCATCCCGCCCTCTCTGCAATCTGGTGGCCAGGTCCACAGATTCGGTTTGTGAATGGTCAGGGTGCTCCTCTTATCTCCAGGCAAGCACCTATTCTCCTAGAAAGTTATGAGCTTACTGCCTGTAGCCAGGCAGATGACAGCTTTGCTGTACAGGGCAAACCACCTGCGCATGGAAATAGCGCACAGCATTTAACTGGAGATATGTTTGGGATTCTCTGCAGTAGCAGAGTTCGTGAAGGAGGCTGACCCAAGAATGGTTCTCCATGGACTCTGAGCATGCCAATAGCTCCCAGTCCTTCTAAGGACATTGAGAAAATGGTTCAGAACAGTGGAAGGCAAATACAGATACTCCAAAAAGTGCCTGGAAAAGCGCATCAGGAACAACTTCTGACTGAACGCATGTACTCATTATTTAGGAGTCAAAGCTAGACAAGGACTTCAGGGAACTGTTTTCTCAGTTTACAGATGTGAAAACTGTTACTTTCTCTGACCTAAAGAAGGCATGAGTCTCAGAGTCTCCTGGCAGGGATAGGAGGAAAAATATCCCACTCCAGAGGCAATCAAAACAAAGGGAAGGGGAGGGAAGACAGGTTAGAATGATACGTATCTAAATTGTCAGTATAACAAATCTCTGGAACAGTGTTAAAGATGGTGTAGTTTTTGAACATCTTTTTAAAAAAAATTTTTGCAAATGATATGTCAAAAGCATAAAATTTCTCAACAGTTTTTCCCGTGTATTCGATTCAGATAAATTAGATAAAGAAAAATATCTATGAAAATGGGAGTGGAAGCTATGTATATAAGAGCATTTATTAGCCAGGCACAGTGGCACACGCCTGTAATCCCAGCACTGGGGAGGTGGGTCTCTGAGAGTTCGAGGCCAGCCTGGTCTACAAAGCAAGTCCAAGACAGCCAAGGCTACACAGAAGAAAAAAATAAAAATAAAAAATAAATCTTGAAAAATAAAAATAAAAAATAAAGGAAATTATCACTGTGTAACTTAGAAAAACTGTAAACATCTAACAAGACTTGATTAAATTAAGGCTTGTTACTTGATGACACACTACTCAGCTATTAAATCTATACTGAAGAAGGGCAGGAGCTGTAGGTCAATGGTAGACTATTTCAGCACACCCAAAGCCCTGGATCTGCTTGACCAACATAAAAGATAAAGAATTAAAGAGGAAATAATAATGCCTCAGCTTGCATGAAGCAAAACTTTCAAACACAAAACCACTATGAATATTAATAATAGAAGAAACTTGTTTATGTCCTCACTGTTTTAGTACAATAAGGTTATAAATAACTAGATCTTTATTGCCTTCTAAATCTTCATTAAAATGAACTATTTGTTGGGTAATATAATAAAAATAATCATGAAGTAATTAAAGTAATGCAAGGACTTCCCGAGTCTGATAGAGCTTGGAAGGGCACACCCACAGTACAGAAGGAACTTCATCTTGAGTGCATGGCCTACTAAGTGGTACCATTGGAAAATGGGCCAGAAGTTGTAGCCTCATTGTTTCTAGAACCCCACATACAGTCCCAGAGGAGGCCAGACCTGAGAATGTGAAAATGTCTATGGCCAGCTTAGCACCTGTGCCTTCCATGTAAATGAACCTGAAGATAGATATCTTAATGGTTACCTTTGCAACAAAGAGCTAGATCAGAATGTGATGAGGATGCCATCTCTCCACAGAAAGCTGTAATTACCAGCTCCCATGGCAGTCAGGAAGACTCTGCCTTAAATGGTAGAGGGTTGTACAAATAAGCAACACCCTAGGAGTGAGATCACTAGGAACCATGCAGTGCCAGACAGATGGCTTACAGAAAATGAGGTAGGCAGGGCCAGGAACTCTTCAGCCCTGGTAAAGTAGTTCTAAGGCTCCGTTCAGAGAGTCACAAAGCAGATGCCACCACAGATCCCTTGCCCTGGCTGGCTTTGAAAATCCAGCTCAGCAAGGGTGACTGTGGTGCTAGAGGAATGGCTATGGGCTGATTACCGTCTGCTATATGAACTAGAGCAGAGGGGGTGGCAGGGAAGAGAATAGAATGAAAAATACCTCTAAAGGCAATACAATTAAGGTTCCTTACCTCCACCCTTTTTCCTAGCTGGGCTCATGGAAGAATCAAAGTAGGCTTTCACATCACTACATCACTATCTGAGCTAGAAGCAGTATTTTTGGATGATGAACAATTGAACCAAAAACTATTGTGAATTAGTTGTTTGTCAGATTTCTAGGAGGCAGAACTGAGACTCAAAGTGGTAAAGGTGGAAGATCAACAGTAAAACTAAGCAATTTTAGGACATCATTTCTCCCCATGTCTGTCAGTGTCTCTGGTCCTAGGGTTCCTGCCCCCTTGAAGGTGAAGGCACACATATTTGAATATTTTCTCACATACCAAAAGCTCTTAAGAACCACAGGCTGGTATGCACACTTGCTATCTTCTCAAAATTCATGAAGAACCTCCAATGTAATAGTCTGTTTTTCCGTGTCCATTGCAAAAGTCATGACTTATATGACCTTGAACAAGGCCCAAATGATTTTAGTCCTCACTTCCACCATTTAACAATCACTGTTGCTAGGTAGGTCTGGGTGCCAGTTGAAAATCACATGCTCAGGCTAAAATAAGGAAGTAGAATCAGGTGCTCTCCTAAGAACCTCTGGAGTATTATCCACACCTTCTTCCTGTCTGATTCAGACTCTGTGTGGGTGACAGAAGGAGAAGAGAAGAACACTGTTCTCTCCACAAGGAATTCACAAGCTCAGTAAACCCCAGAGGCACCTACTGGCTAGGAGACAGGAGGAGCCACATTCTAATACTTTTCCATGTTATCAGACCCATTGCATTGTAATATGCAGGTGAATGAATCAAAGGAGTCTGGGAACTTTTATGATCTATATAAAGAAGATTATTATTTGATGATAATGGAGGAAAAACAATGTTCTGCACACACCTGAGTCTCTTCTGTCTAATTACATCCTGGCTTCCAATAATAACAGCTCCAGAAGTCTAGATTTGTAGATACCCTTAAAATCAGATTATCACTATTACTGCTAGAAGGCTGAACATAGCCAGGGAAATTAGGCATCTTAAGATTCGAGGTGGGACAGTCTTCCCAAAGATACCCAAGCCTTGTTGCCAAATGATTGGTCCATTGACGTTAGTTTTTGAAAGACTCAGGCTTCCCAAATCTCCCACTTTTCACCAAGGAAATGATAGATCATCTAAGGTCACTCAGCCATCCTTCTCAGCCTCTGCTACATGCAGAGGACAGAAGACTGGGTTTTCTAAGCAAGGAGAAAAGACCACACATGCATGACCAAACACTTAGAAAGACACAGAAGTACTCAAGTTTACTGTTCTTTCTCACATTTATAGTGTCACAGAGTGTGAAAGTTGGAATGGACCCTATTAAAAGGCCCCTTTCCTAATGATGGTTGGAGGCTAGAGAGGGTCAAGTGACTGGTCAGACTCTACAGGAACAGAGCCAGTATCATAAGGCCCTGTAAAGTAAATTGTCTATTCATAACAATAAAAGGAAAAGTAATCTCAAGGGCAAATGTTGGAGAATCATTCTATGTAAAGAACATAGAATAAAGAATTGGGGAAATCAAGGAAGGGTCCATGAAAAAAATTGAGTCCTGAGCCAATACAGGCACTCATAGGTATGAGGGTACAAAATATTACTGTATACTCTAAATCATTCTCACAAGAAATTTGTGAAATACCATTTTTGCCTTCTCACCAAAAAAAAGAGAAATTAAGCCTCTGGGGTGTTGCCACTAATCAATCAACACTGCACATGTTTGTTTTTTTTTTTTGATAAAGTCTATCCTGTTTGCCATTCTGATTGAGATTTAAGCATCCTCCCTAGAGTCCTTCTTGTTGGTTAGCTTCTTTAGGTCTGTAGATTTTTGCATGGCTATCCTATATTTATAAGGCTAAAGTCAGTCCTGAACACTGAGTTTAGCTGTTCCATGAATGGGTGAGCTTTCTTTGCCAAAAAAAAAAAAAAAAGGTTTTTATTGACTGTGTTGATATAATAAATAAAGGGATCTCCTTAAATGACACAGTGAGAAGGAGATTCCATTGCATCACTGGATGCATCACTTAGTCCTTCAAAGTTCCCAAGAGCGTCAGATATTGAAAAGCATTTGTTTTTTAGCACTTCTAACACTATAAATTGAATAGAACAAAATGCCAAAGAATGCATTGCAATTCTCAAAGTCAGAAGTCATGGATGATGTGTCTTAGTTACTTTTCTCCTGCTGCAATAAGACACCATGACCAAAAACACCGTGGAAAGGAAAGAGTTTATTTCAGCACACACTCCCAGAAACTCAGGGCCATAGTTCAAGGCAGAAACTTAGAGGCAGAAACTGAAGTAGAGACCAGAAAAATCACTGCTTACTTGTTCAGCTTGCTTTTTGTTTGCATGTTTGTTTGGTTGTTTTTTTGTTTGTTTGTTTGTTTGTTTGTTTGTTTGGGGCTTTCGTTTTTGAGATTTAGATGTATTCATATTTAATTAATTAATTCACTTTACATATCTATCATAGGCCTTCCCTCCTCTCCTTCCATTTCCATCCTCCCTCCCTCTTCCCATCCTCTCTCC